ACATACCGGGTTCCCTCACCTCTCGATCCTGTCACGGCTCTCTGCCGTGACAGGGGGAGGGGCTGGATTCCCCTCTCCCCGTTCCGATCTGCCAGCGCTGACTGGCGGAACGGACGGGGGAGGGGGCGGGTACAGCTGGCTCTGCCTCTAGATAGGCAGAGCCAGCTGTCACTCACGCAGCTGGGCGGATCCCGTCATCTACGTCGGGATCCGCTCCAGGTGCGGCGTCTCAGTATACCGTGAGCTGTAGCTCGCGGTATACTGAGCTTAGGGTAACGGGAGGATGCTAGTTTGTGTCCTCCCCTAAACCCTAAGGAGAACTATGGGGAAAAACACTGACCCCATAGTTCTCCTTTAAACAAATTTACCTATGCATTACACAAGGTTCAATATGAAGCACATTTTCAACAAAATTTTGGCAAAAGCAAATTGGCGGTTTCTTAGCAAAATCAATTTCTACGGATATCAATCCACCTATGCCTACTAGAAAATGAGTGCTGCCAGAAGTACTGGGTGGTTTGGCATTTGCAGTGGAAAGGCATTATTTTCTTTAATTGGAGGATGAAACATATCAGTAATACAAGGCTGAGATAAACTGTATACAGTAACTGCTTCCAAAGATTCTGCAACCACCTAATAAAGTTCCCATGCTGTAAGCTTGGCTGATATCCATGGGGCCCCTAACAGATATTGACAGTAGACAGAGCTCCCAGGGCACCGAGCACTGACAGACATTCATCCTAATTTGTTGTTATCTAGTTCCAGAGAGCTCATTTGAGATGGCCCGCCAGGGGGAGAGCAGAATTTGTTATTAGTGTATGTTTTAATCTATTAAAGATTGGCTGCAGGAGAACCGACTAGATTATTTATAAAGACAACAGTTAATGTACTTTTTTTTTCCAGTTCATTGACACTCGGTTGGAGAAGCTGAATTACGGAGATGAATTCACAGATCTATTTGAGCAAGAAGTTACCAAATGTGGACTTTCAGGTACTGAGCCCATGGGTGGTGAGTTGGAGGACTTCCCTAATCAATGTGTCTGTAGAGAAGAATAGCCACCAATCACACTATTGTGCACTGTATGGCTAAAGGTGATGTTTGGCAGGCCATTCTGGTCCCTGCAAGGTCCCTCCCCCCTCCCCCCCACAACCAATAGATGTAAAAGTGCACACTGAGCAGAACGGCTTAGTACACAAAGTGGCAGATGGATCATTGCAGCAAGGCCAACCCCTTTGTTACATGCTGAGTTTGGCCACAGCTGTGTATTGTGTTCTATTGCTTGGTGGGCCCCCAGACACAGAGAAGACAATAAGAAATTCAGTTGTATGTGCAAACTTCAGCTGGCACTACTGAGGTCTGTAAACAACAAACCTCAGACATTTCTTGGCTGTTCTGCAACATGATAGCTCAGAATAGATGGGTGAATGTGAAAAGGTGCTTACCACTCCACCAGCTAGCTTGACTGAGAATAAAAATACCTAAACATAGTTGGTACTTTCCATGTGTGATCTCTGAAGGTCCCGCCTAATTCACAGCCATTTCCTGTGGGAAATGGTAAGAACCAGTGGCTGTGATATGTGGAGGATGAACTGAGGGTGAGACCTTTGTGACAAACATCTGAGAAATTCTAGGATGCATCACGCAGCCCAAGTTTTCTGAGTTATAAGTACCACTTGGAATTGGAACCTTGGATTTCACATATGTCTGACACCACGTGATCACAGCATTAATTCAGTCCAAATATGTAACTAAAACATTTCCACCATACTGTGTAATTAACTGTTTTGTAGGGGATGTTGTTCTCTTGATGCTGATTGTGTTTATTATAAAGCAAAGTTCCCTTCTAATCAATCCTTGTAGAATATTATATTACGTGAAACATCTTCTGTTTTTCCACAGGGGCCTCCCGGTCTTACCAGCTGTGGCTAGAAAACCTCAAGGTAAAGTATGATTCATGAGACCATCACAATGGTGCATTTGGGGTCTAGTGTCATGTATGAAGAGCTTGTCCTTATACATTCCTAACAAAGACACCAACAGTCCATCAGCATTACTCTGGGCCTACAGCATCTCCAGACTTAGACACCATTCACTGGAGGCTTCCTAAAGTCCTACAAACCGTGGGGTGACCAGATTAGGATGTAGCTGTCAGCCAACAGCTCTGTGATAACATGCATAAGACTTAATCCACTAAAATGGGCGAAGTATTGTAGCTCCATTCCTTGTCTCCTGGTGATTTCAGCTTCCGAATTTTATACGGTCTCGTTGCTCCCCACTCCCTCTTCCTTAGAAGTCAGTTTTCATTCACAGCCTAAAACAGCTGTATGCAATCTGGCAAAAAAATGGCTCTATAATATTATTATTAGTATTTACTGTATATATAATAATAATGTAGTATTAAACTTCATAAAAATGGATCCAGATCAAACAAATATATATTGCCCATCAAAGTATAACTATAGCTCGTCTATTCACTAGAGACCAGTGACATCACCGACACTTCATATTCATGAGAACACAGCCCATCCATTCACTAGAGACCAGTGACATCACCGACACTTCATATTCATGAGAACACAGCCCGTCCATTCACTAGAGACCAGTGGCATCACCGACACTTCATATTAATGAGAACACAGCCCGTCCATTCACTAGAGACCAGTGGCATCACCGACACTTCATATTAATGAGAACACAGCCCATCCATTCACTAGAGACCAGTGACATCACCGACACTTCATATTCATGAGAACACAGCCCGTCCATTCACTAGAGACCAGTGACATCACCGACACTTCATATTCTTGAGAACATAGCCCGTCCATTTACTAGAGACCAGTGACATCACCGACACTTCATATTCTTGAGAACACAGCCCGTCCATTCACTAGAGACCAGTGACATCACTGACACTTCATATTCATGAGAACACTGCCTGTCCATTCACTAGAGACCAGTGACATCACCGACACTTCATATTCATGAGAACACACCCGTCCATTCACTAGAGACCAGTGACATCACTGACACTTCATATTCATGAGAACACAGCCATCCATTTACTAGAGACCAGTGACATCACTGACACTTCATATTCATGAGAACACTGCCTGTCCATTCACTAGAGACCAGTGACATCACTGCCACTTCATATTCATGAGAACACTGCCTGTCCATTCACTAGAGACCAGTGACATCACTGCCACTTCATATTCATGAGAACACTGCCTGTCCATTCACTAGAGACCAGTGACATCACTGCCACTTCATATTCATGAGAACACTGCCTGTCCATTCACTAGAGACCAGTGACATCACTGCCACTTCATATTCATGAGAACACTGCCTGTCCATTCACTAGAGACCAGTGACATCACTGCCACTTCATATTCATGAGAACACTGCCTGTCCATTCACTAGAGACCAGTGACATCACTGCCACTTCATATTCATGAGAACACTGCCTGTCCATTCACTAGAGACCAGTGACATCACTGCCACTTCATATTCATGAGAACACTGCCTGTCCATTCACTAGAGACCAGTGACATCACTGCCACTTCATATTCATGAGAACACTGCCTGTCCATTCACTAGAGACCAGTGACATCACTGCCACTTCATATTCATGAGAACACTGCCTGTCCATTCACTAGAGACCAGTGACATCACTGCCACTTCATATTCATGAGAACACAGCCCGTCCATTCAGGGGCAGATTTACTCTCTCTGCTGCCCTTCTTCAGTCTCCTTCTTCACCCGAGCTTGACAAAGAGGCTTCGCCTCGAAACACGTAGCGATCTACCCCTTAGACACCACTTCCAACTGTTCACCACCCCCTCACTGCTTCAGTCGGAGCATGCTCTCAACGGCATCACCGTTTTGTCTCCTGATCCATCTGACATAGAGACGACCGCTGACAGTACTTGTTACACAGAGTCCATTCACTGCGAGACCAGTGACATCACCAACGCTTCATATGTATGCATTAGAACACAGCCCGTCCATTCACTAGAGACCAGTGACATCAGTAAAGCATGTCGTATTATTAAGAATGCAGCCTAACTATTCATTTATGTTCTGAAGACTAATGACTGAATCATGACTTACTATGCACCGAACGATAGGTAATATATATCATCACAATGCAGATATTAAACATTATACAGACTTTGATTAGTCTGTAAATAACAACCAATGACGTAATATAATGTATATTTGTATTAATGTATCTGTCTCAAATCTTTGCTTCTGTCACCCAGAAAGGAGGAGGGACGCTGATCAATAATATGAAGAACAGAACACATCCTACTGTCAGGAACATGCTAAGATATGTAAGGACCTTCCTGGTTTATTTGGGTTTCATTTCAGTCCTGGATGTAAAATGGTATTTAAGGTCACTATTACAGTCCGGAATGCAGACGTGATATACACACTAAGCAGCATAAACACACGCCTAATATTCCTTCTAACTCAATGCAACTTGAACCTAATATTGGTTCTGGCCTCTGTAGATAGGCCCAGCTCTGCCTTGTTACTGCTTTCAGAGGGGGGCACCAAAGAGGCTGTTCCTGGTAACAAAGACAATAGTAGGCATTCTGTGGTGTCTGTTTTTAGGCAGGGTAGACAGCGTTACTGTAAAGCAGTCCTAGTAAGCTACTAACACTTTGTAAAATGCCAGTAAGCAGTCTTCCTTGCCATGCATGCCTACAGAAGTCAGAGGGTCTCACTACTCAACAGACAGACTCACTATCCAATGGCATCACATCTAATATCTCCCTTTAGTTTATTGTCTCTACAACCAATTCTAGTGTCTTCAAAAAGATATTTGGTACTTCACACTATACAGTCTGTATACAAAATAGCTGATATGTTTCTAACTGAGCTTAAATATACTCCAAATATAAAAAGGTTTGCGCATAATTATGCAATTCAATACACATTTACTGCCGGTTAGTTACCTCGTAGGGAATATACCTTCTCAACAGGAGTCAAAATTCAGGAATAGTTTGTAAAGTCATTTTGAATACCCTCAAAACTGCTCACAAACCAAACAACTTCAAAGTCTTCCAACTCCATCTTGCAAGGACTTGGAATACACCACTACTACGCCATTGCTCTGGGTCCCTAAATTTCCATTCCACTGCTCAGCCTTTCGAAAACCAGTATGATAAATTGTAAATCTTTTTTTTGGTTTTATCTTTTCTAGGCTAAGGGTCAAGCCAAGACTGGTCTGCAGGGAATGAAGAGACGTATTAAACACAAGGTAAGACTTCATGGGTCAGTTATTATTATTATTATTATTATTATTACATAGTATTTATATAGCGCCAACAGTTTGCGCAGCGCTTTACAATATAGGGAAGACATTACAATCACAATACAATTCAAGACAAGATGGTGAGGAGGGCCCACCAGTTGGTCAGCGATCAAGCCTTAGAGCTTCCAAAGCCTTCCAACTCCCATTCTCTTCCGTATTCTGATTTCAGAGATTCTGCAAGTTTTAACTGCACATGGGGAGATAAAATGATCCACTGCATGCGAAGCGGGGTCATTGGAATCCGTTCTTTGGAAAGGCATAGTCGAAGGCCTTAAACATTTTAATGGGTCACATTTTTTCCTGTCTTTGTCCAATTGTGGGCATTTCCTGTGCTGGTAACACAAGAAAATGAGAGGAAATCTCTCCAATTTATGTGTGAGTATATGTGATAAAATATTGAAACAAGGGTCATGCCACTCTAGGCCTGGGACTCTATGACCTTATTGCAAATCTTGACTTCCCTGTAACATACTGTATATTGACATCACTTCCTGCCTTTGAGGAGCTTACAATCTAAGGTACCTATGTCACATGCATACTAGGGCCGATTTCGACACCTACCAGCATGACCACCAGGAGGCATATTTGTAAAGCATTGAACAATTTGATGATCATTTGCTGCTCTTACGCTGCCAAAAGCTTTGTCGCATTTATACAACAAATTTGCATTCCATATTTGCTAAACTGATCCCCGTTTGTTGCAGTTTGCCCAACAACCCAACATCTGCATTTCCCATTCTTCAATTGAAATCCATCTCTCACAGACATCAGTGTATGTATAAGTCAATAAGCCAATATTACATTTATCAACACCAACCGCTCTGACACAATGGTGGTTTTTCCAATGACTAACCATTGACTTTATCAGCCATTGTTTTATAGAGCCCTACAAGCGGTCCTGCTCTGTTGTTTATACAGATGGTATCTGCCATCTGGATATTACCGTTCTCAGACATGAAGCCACATGCTGTGAGAACCAGGACCGGATTTCTGCAAAGCCGACATAGTGTGGCCCAGAGTAGCAGGGCTGCCAGAGGAGGCGCGCAGCCAACCGCACAACATGTCACTGCCTGTAATGCATTCACTTGTGTGAAATGTTTCAGATTGCCACCCGGTCTGCCAGTCTCATCACTCTTGCTTTTTTCTGCACGTTTTGTGCATTTTTGTCAGTAATACAGTGTTCTGCGTGCTTACAGTTCACCTTCTCTGGTTCTGTACACCTGTACCTGTAGTAGATTAGGGTGGCCATTTGTCTTTTTTTCTAGTCAATGATTCTACATGTGTTTTGTAGCAATATCAGAACAACGATCAGACAAATTTGCACCCTGAAGTTTACCGTATGAGTGCAAAATAAATAGATAATGTCAATCAAATGATCAAGCGGTATGCAACAAGCATAAAACAGTGTAACAGGCAGTGAACTATTGTATTGCAGGGCTGCCTTGGGGTAGTCCCCACTAAAGCCACTAGCTGGCAGCACAATTCATTACAACAGTATCTAAGAGACTTGAGTAGAAGTCCAGTTCAATCTAATACAAATACAGTTAAACCATAGGGATCTCTGGACAGGTTCCATAATGAAAAGGTGGGAAGAGTCTCTGCTCTGGATGTCCAGGTAGTGGAAGTCCCAGGCACTGGTGTACAAGGAGGAGGTTGAAGACACAAGGTCACCCCACTGGAAAGGCAGTTGTGAGCTCTTGCACTCTCATGTGGTGGCCCATACACCAGCAACAACAAAGGAGGATACCCCAACTGGTGACAGCTAACATGCCCAGTCACTGCTGCCCCTTCAGGTGCAATCTCTCTGAAGGCAAGAAACAGTGGAATTTATATCCCCTGGGCATGTCCAGAAGTCAGCTGAAGACTGGAGGCCACTCCACTAGAAAGGCAGTAATCTGGTGAGAGCTGGCATAGGGGCCACCAGAGTGACTGGGGCTTAAGAAGAAGTTGTGTGCTCTTTTACTGTCATCCGGTGGCCCATACACTGGGAACAATGAAGGAGGACACCCCCGCCTGGTGACTACTAACATGCCCGGTCACTGCTGTCCCATCGGTGTGATCTCTCTGAGCACATGAGGGCAATAAACACTGAAATGTATACCCCCTGGGCTTGTCTAGGAGTCCTGGGGATTGAGGGAAAAAGAAATGAAAGGTTGGTAAAGACAAACTCAACTGCAGACGTATAGAAGCTGTCTCGTGCAGACTCTCCACCACCAGCACAAGTCACAGCAAGCCTTGTGTGGCTATAATGCTGATTTTGGTAGGGTGCGATACTAAGGTTTGCCAGTCAACCTGGGTAGAGGGGGGCAGCAACATGACAAGTTGGCCCCAGGGGGCAGGAATTATAAATAAGGCCCTGGTGAGAACTAACATTCTAAACTAGGACAATGGAGCTGTTCTCAGACCGTACCATCAAACGGCAGCTCCGGGTTTTCCGTATCGATTGGGAACCAATCAGTGCTGTCCTCAACTCTGATGGTCGCGTGTAGTGAGGAGGTTCATTCGGGAATAAAACCTCTTTAGTCTGTCACTCTTGTCTAAAGGTGGCAGAGTGCCTCTATTTAATACTGTAATTGTCAGCTTGTCACATTGTCACATTGTTGTCCAGGTGGCAATGTGCTTGTTTAATACTGTAATTGTCAGACATGTGCTGATGATACTAAATTTGGTCTGGGAGGTTGAACATCAGTGACCTATGGTCAGAAAAGGGTTGAGGTCCACATTTAGTACCCTGCAGATTAGGATGTTAAAATTCTCATTACATACATTGGCATTTGGCCTCAGCACCTGACTGTCCCCACAATTGGTTGGTAGGTGTGGACAAATCTAGACAGGTAAGTGAGGTAGTAGGTAAGTAGGTAAATGAGCTCAGATACGTCTGCTTTTTATAAAAATGGCCCCTAATAATGAATGGTGCAGCCATGTTTCATCAGGCGGGTTTATTGATCTATATTCCACAGGACCAACGCCAGATCCAGCATATGGGCTCCTTCAAAGCAGATGGAACTCCAACCCAAAACCACGACAGACTGCAGCACCGGCTGCCGATCACACAGCACTTTGGGCAGGTAAGGTTTTTCTTTGTGTGTTTTAATAATCAATTTAAAGAAGAACACCCCCCCCCCCCCCCCCACACCACTTTTTTTGTGTTTTTTTTTTTTT